TGCTACTAATAGATAACAAGTTAATAGATAAGTTAGGAACATGGAGCACATCCGAAAGAGCAAAGTCAAATGGCAGAGAGATAGTTCCTTGACCAGATATAGAMGAGAAAGAGCCATAAGCAAGTCTCACCTTTTCTCTGCCAGAAAGAATGGTATAGGACTGAAACAAAGAGGACTTACCGGTCATATGGTTGGAGGCTCTGAAATCGATAATCCATGGTGATTCCAAAGTCTGGGAGAAAACATGGAAAGCAAAGGCAATGTTACCTGAAATAGAGGCGAAGGAAGTTGAGGGGTTGGGCCTAGAATCCATTTGTCGAAGGGCCCTACCATATAGTTCCATATGGTCACAAAAGGCATTGATGAAGTCTTCTTTGGGATCCGAACGAGAAGAGTACTCTTGAGATGTGTTCATAGAAGAACCAGTTGTTTGCTCCTGAGAAGCCACATTTGCAGAGACAGACTTCTTCTGACTAGAGGGACGATCCTGATACTGAGGATTTGGTTTCTTGTTCTGTTCCAGTGCTGATTTTTTACTCAGTTCTTGAGCCCACTTAGGTTTTCCAACTAGGTTCCAGCAAGTTTCATGGGTATGTCTGGGTCACTGACAGTGAGTGCACTACAATTTATCTTTCTCATCCCCTTTCTTTTGAAAATCATTCTTCTTATCTGTATTCATAACACTCCTTGCAGCAAGAACAATCTGCCCCCTCTGAATTATTCATTGCATTTCTTCTACTTTCCTCAGATTGTATCAAGGCATACACTTCATTGATGGAAGGGAGGTCCTTCTACCTAATATTTGAACCCTAATAGGCTCATATACTGAATTCAGCCCAAGTAAAAAGGCAAGCACATGCTGCTGAGAATCAAGGGCTTTATAGGCTTTAGCATCCTTATCACTCTTCCATTCAATGCTTTGATAGTACCTTCCAAATGGAGGAGAGGGCAGAACAGTAGGCTGATAAACTTCATTACCCCCGTTTGCATGTAGAAGACTCTGTTTGCAACTGATAGATTCTAGCGTAATGCCTTTGTTCAGAATACATAGATTTCTCCTGGTCCCAAATCTCATATGCTGTCTCTGCCCACATAAAATTCTGTTTGATCGATGGTGACATGGTAGAGAGAAGCCAGGACATAATTAAGCAGTTCTCCACTTCTCCTGATTCTACCTATCATGTTTCAGCAGTGCCATTCCTTGGTTCTTTTACTGTTCCACTGATGTAACCTATCTTCCCCCAAGCTGTAATATATAACTTTCATCTCTCTTGACCATGCAAGATAATTACTTCTATCGAGGGGGGTAATGGACATTGGAAAATTCACATGGTCAATGTTGCTGTTCAGTCCTCCCTGTCCAGATGTAGCACCAGAAGTAGCACTGTCATCAGAGGCAATTTGGAACTGCACCCTATTGCTTTGGTTCTCACAGGATCCCTAGAAAAAATTTCTGTACGCCAAACAGTACCTTCCTAACCTTCCTAGCACTGATCTGGGTACTCCCAGGTCTGTACGAACACAGTATTGTAAACAGACCTACAAAAGCTTTGCAGCGGCAGCACCAGTCCACAGTGTTCTCCACACTACAAGGTCATACAAAACCTACTGAGGATACTTTCCTCGTCACAGAAAGATCATATGATCCACAGGGGATTTCTAATCTCCTTCACAGTATCAGATTTAAATTTATGGGTTTTCTTGGCACACAACCAAGAAGAAAAATAAAAAAAAAGAAAGGGAGGGGGCCCTACGGTTGTCTCAGATCAGATCTGTAAACTGTAGATATCTTCAAATCTAAGAGAACAAGTCGGGAGGAAAAAAAATAAAATCTCGATCTGCTTTTCAGGACCCCACCCGCTCTGAAACCATATTATCGAAGTCAAATATAGAGAGAGAGAGAGAAGCAGAGAAGAGGGAGAGAAGAGAGAAGAGAGTGAGGGCTAAAAGTGGTGCTGGCGGCACCTCTATAAGATTATATTAGGGCGACAGTACAGCTAATAAACAAAACAAGAAAATGACAATAATGTCCCTGTGGACAATACATAGATAAGTACACAACAAAGATTATCTGTAGGGAGCAAAGATTGTTTCCATTGGGCCCAGCATTAAGATAATTGATGGCTTTAAACATATTGTGTCTGGATATGTTCTCAATGGAAATGTTTTTCATGGTTGAAATTTATTTCATTAGTTTAGTACTTGAGTTGTGAAGAACTACCTAGAAGCTTACCTTCTTTTCCCTTATTTCCCTATATTCTTTTTTCCAATCTTTAACCATTTTATTCATGATTTTTATCCTAAAATTTGCTACTTCATGCCATGCTGACTGATGTTTCACTTTGTGTTATTTTTCGCATTATGGTTTATTTAATGAATCAAAAGGATTTCTTTGTTTTCATATCAACATGCAAGGACTTTTATCTATATTTTTGTGTGGAATTATCTTCAAATACTTTTTTGCTTGTTTAAGTTTGTAACATCCAGACCCTTCATTCCATTGGAAGTACCCATATTGAATATGACATAACATGGATGTGGCTATGGGATTGGGGTATATATAAATGTTAAACATTGTTCTGACCCCTGCAACAAGTGCAGGAATGAAGAAAAATAAGGAAGAAGAAAAGAGAGACATGGAGGAAGATAACAATTGAAAGAGAAGGGTCAATTCCCAATCTGATTGACCCACATTTTTGTTATAGTAACACTGTAACAGCCAGCATAGTGATTAACCCAATCATGTGCACATTTTACCTAATGTTATTAAAAGATACTATAACCAGAATGTAAATGTTGAGTGCATGCAATTTCCAGCCAGAAATGCCTCTTTAACCTCATTTGCTATAGGTTCCCAATATGTTATTATATTTTGAGTATTTAAGTGTTCTACTGCAAGTTCGCTCTCTCTCCTCTCTTTAAATGTATCTTTGTGTTGCAAATTCATTTATTGCATCCTTTTGTTGCTGATATTTTGTTTTTGGATATGCATAATAATACATCTAGATTATTAGACATAGCTTGCTTGATTAGAAACTATATATTTATTAGTCCTATTTATCATATTCATGCATTTATTACAAATTGTGAACCTATTGTGACCGAGTTCCCATATCCAAAGATTTTGCTGTCAGAATTCAAAGGGCCTGACTCCCAGACACAACACCTGCACTCAGATCTTTGTAACAGATTATTATAAGATATCAAATTATACTTAACGTTCTTATAGTCAGTAAAGGAAGCACTTTTTGGGTAAGAAATTTTGATGAGGGAAACACAATTCCATGTTCTCATGTATAGTTTTCTCATGCTACAAACATGAACTCAAATGGGGTTTTCCCTCTGGCTGATTAGTATTTTGAATGGATTGTCAGGTATTTTGGTCACATAGACATTTCTGTGACATCAGCTGCTTTTGTTGTTGCAATGTCATTGCTTTTACAGAGAGGAAATCCTCGTTTTGCTCAGTTGAGCAGTGCAATGTTTGGGTTGTTCTATTGTGGTTATCTTCCTTGTTTCTGGGTTAAGCTTCGTTGTGGTTTGGCAGCTCCTGCCTTAAATACCCGTAAGTTTTGTTTTCCATTCTACTTGCTTATGTCATATTATCCATAATCAAATAGTGTACATGTAGTATTCTTAAGAATGGTTTGTACAGTGCACTTCTAAGTATATCCATATTCTGCTGTTAACAATTTTTAATACTGCAATATATAGCATAAATGTGATAAAGGGAAAAACAGGGGTGATAAACCATTTTCATATTGCATCCTTTTCACATAAGCACACTAAGAGTAGTATAATTATATATTATTTTAGTTATCTATCCAAAAAAGCATTTTTAGTTTTAGTGACTCTGCATTAGTTGTTGAAATCTGAAATGACATCAATTTTTTTTTTTTGAGAAGGTAAAGTAAAGATTTTATTGATAAAAGGGGCTACAGTACAACAGCAACCTAGTGGAAAAGCACTAGGTGAACAACCACATTACAAATCCCAAATGGAGTGGGACTCAAGGAGCTGAAAAATATTCACATTTTTAATATCTGAAATGGCATCATTATTTGGTGTATTTTCTATTAATAGGATATTCAGTCAAAGATAGCACCATAATTGATGAGGGTGCATAATTTTCAGAGGCATTTGTAACGAACCATCATTTCAGATGACATGATATCAACAATCAATATTTGGTTTTATAAGAGAACAAGTGCCTATGCATGTGGCTACTGGATTTTGCCCTCAATATAGGAGCTCAATCAGCATGGACTGTGGGGGTTGTAACTATTAATCAAGTATATGGAATTAGAAATAGAAGCAGGTCTAGTTCACTGGGTGGGGGGAGTTCAAGTTATATTTAATGAGATATGAGAGCTGTCCAGTAATGGTTTGTTAACTTATTGAAGGACCAGAAGTGCTCAACAGACAACCTACTTGAGAGTGTGCATGCACTTTAGAACCCATGATAATAATACTAAGATAAGGGTTAAATTGTAAGAGGTACATCATTGCATCTTACCTTGATGGAATCCTACTTCTATATCCTATAAGAAGAATAGCTCAACTTTCAACGATCAATCACATTCAAAGATTTGAAATGTAAAGATGCTCTTTTTTTTTTTTTATTTTCTTACAGAGAATTGGTTTATACCGAGTTTTTTTTTGATCAATAACACCATCTTCATTAAATTAAAAGAAAAGAGGGAATATGGATACAAAAGGGGAGATAAAATAACTTAGCTCCCCAAAAACAGAAAACAAAGGGAATGCAAAGAAGAAAGATTAAAAACTAGCCCAAAAAACAGACTCTCTATTCACTCCTTGCTTGGCCAACCCATCCGCAAATGAGTTGGCACTCTTCTTCACCCAGCTGTACAGAATCTCAATGTTCCTACCCAGCCATAAGAACTGTTTTTTTTTTCATTGTTAAAGTTCCACAAACCACTGTCCTCTGTCTTCAACCAACTAACCAYCACCTTCRAATCACCTTYCARGATCAAACGACTGATATTTAATTCCTTTGCTCTTCGAATTCCTTCAAGCGCTGCAAGGATCTCAGCCCTAAGAGAGTCACCTTCTCCATTAGGGCCAGAGAATAAAGCAGTAACAATCCCTTCCTCATTCCTGAAGATTCCTCCAATCCCAGAGGGCCCTGGATTCCTTACACTGCTGCCATCAAAGTTCAGCTTTATAAAGCCCGAGGGGGGAGGGGACCAAAACGGACAAAGAGTCCTCTTGCATCTAGCAATGGAAGCAATCTCTTTCCAGTTTCTTAGCAAGTCATCCACAGGAAAATCTGAAAACAACTCCATAGATTTTAGCCAGTGGACAGCCCTTGAAAGGATTCGATCTGAAAACAACTCCGAGTTATTAAAAATGGTTAAATAAGAAAAACCTCAGTGCATTGCCATGCCTAATCTGGAATTATGTCTTGCATATCCAAGTGAATGTGGCTTCAAATATAACAGTATTTGTTGACATGTTAGCCTGGTGGTTAAGTTCGAATGATATACAATCCAACAATTATCCAATTCAGAATACACAAAACCTGAGCTTAAAGCCACATAAGATAGCACCAAACCAAAAGACACACACACACACAGAAGAAACAACAATAAGATAAAAAGACAGGAAAGATGACAAGTATAGCATAAAAAAGAACAGAGGAAGATAATAGAATAATTGCATTCATAATTTCATAGTGACTGCAGTTGTAATAGATAGAAGCTTATAAAACATAGAAGTCATGCTTTCCCAACACCAAGAATTCCCTAATATTTTGGCTAAATGGATCTCACCAGACACAGATATGATTAAAATAAATTTTGATGCCTCTAGAGATAGGGAGGGTAACTGTGCTTTTGGTTGTATTACAAGAGATTCCACCGCCAAGATAATTAACATGAAAACAGGTCCCATTGGGATCTGTTCAATACCAGTGGCTGACATGAGAGCATGCCTTGAAGCCCATAGGTTAGCTGTGTTTGCTGGAGCTATGAAGGTGATAATAGAAGGAGAGTCAAAGACCACAATTGAAGCTTTTAAAAGGATTGAGTTCATCATCATGTAATTGTCAACTCATGCTCAAGGAATGCAGGAGGCTAGCAAGAGAAGGAGATCTTGAAGTCACGTACAACCACATCCACGAAAAAGACAACCAGGCTGTGGCCTGGATAGCAAACGAAGGTCATAGAAGAGAAGTAGCAGCTGAGAGAAGTTGTCATAGAGATTTAGATTATAGGGATAAGTAGACTGTAAATCCCCCTCAGAAATCTGAAATTACAGCCACCTCCTAGTCTACTAGTAGCCCCCTCCTCTATAAAACGCATCCTGTCTGTGGATTTGGCATCAATCCACGGTCAGGATTCATTCACCCCTAGGGTGGAGCTAAGATTTCTAGGGGTGGACTGAACAGTTAAAGCCCTAGATTATATTATTTTTTTAGATGCTTTAGGTTGTCCACTTGTCCTTTTCCCTGTTTGGTGTAACAGGCTCCCATTTTATCAAAAAAAAAAAAAAAAGAAAAAAGAGGAATCCCCTAATATACAAAGGTAAAGCCCCTCTAAATTATAAAGCTCACGACTAATATTAGTGTTTGATTCTCAAACCTAATGCCACCTGTGTCTCAGAGCTGATCAAACTAAGTTTAGAAGAAAGCGCTACTTCCGTAAATCACTCTTGAGCCAGTGGTCTTTGGTGAATGTAATTTTTAGTTGGAGCTAGAATTGGTTTTTCTAGAATTGGGGCTTTTATTTTCAATGTCCATTGGAAGCTTCATCTTGGCCAAAGATTTAGTAAATTGCTGCATGCTTTTCATGTACATGTCTGCTATCTCTGTTGAACCACTATTGGACCTAGTTCAACTTTTACATTCAGAAGAGATTGTGAAACTGGATTACTTGGTACCCCACCCAGAGAACTTTCTCTAGAATATCTGCTCTCCTCTCTAAGAGGTGAATTCGGGTCCTGCTTAGGAGATTTTGCACCCCTGGACCATCACAGAAAGACAGAGCTTAGAGGAATTGAAGCAGGAGACCTGTTTGCTGAAACACTGCTTGGGGGACTATCTTTCTTTTGGACATAGACAGAATGTTGACTATCTGCTGAGAAACATTCCACAACATGAACACCAATATCAGAACTGAGGTGATTTTCAGTGTGTGAGGTGCAAAAGCTCTCAGATCTCTGAGAATCCAAAGTGGTCCAAAGTGGCACATGGGATACCAAAATATTCCAAAACCATCGGATTGTTTTCATTCACAGTTTTTGGAACTGGGAAGTGGGAACTCAATATTATCATAGTCACCAGGAAGAGAATCCATTATTTCTGAATCTTGCAGGTTCTTGATTTCAGAGACATGGTTACACTCTCATGGAACAAAGAAGAAACAAAACAAACAATTGAAACAGAGCAGAAAATAAGAAGAAAAAACATAAAATAGAAGACAATGTGTGGGCCCTTTTAATGACATGTTAGACATTGTGAAAAACAAAGAAGCAGAGGGCAAACAATGGAAGTGAACTCAGGGTCTTCTGACCAAACAACTGAAACATTCTCATTTTTATCATGTGGTCATAGATATGCCTTCATTATTTGTATTATATTATTTTCTTTTAGTGTGCATGTTGCTATTCTTTATGTGTTCCCTATTCTAGCGGGCCTTCATTTGTCCATTTACTAAATTTTGGTTTTTAACCAGTTTATTTTTGGCAGAAATAGGAGCCACTTGGTCCATTCTTCTTGGTGGTCAAGCTCATTGGACAGTTGGTCTTGTGGCAACCTTGATTTCTTTTAGCAGTATAATTGCAGCAGATACATTTGCTTTTCTGGGTGGAAAGGTATTGTGCTTATGGCATTGACCAACATGACTTGACCTTTCGGTTAAATCCATGGCATGCCCACATTTTGTGGTTGAGATAATATTTCTAAAAAATAGTAGATATAGTTTCTGCACTAAAAGGCCATTACCCAATGTTGGTCCCAGCTGGGGTCTTGAACCCACATTCTCACGTTTGTCAGCCTGAGATTTTACCATTAAACCAAATGTTCTCTGGCTTTTAAAATTTGCTTCATTGCTTCATTTTTAAAATCATTGTATTCTGTTGGCAAAAGACAATCAAATATGGTGTAAAGAAGAATGTAGAATTGGGGAAATTTATGAACAATTGTTGTAGGCTATGTAGATTGGGACTGTGCACTGAAATTATAGACTAGGGTGAGTAGGAGGGTGTTATTCACTCTCTGCAATTATACTCATCAAGCTTCACATGTGTGATCTGTAGTCTATGTAGATTTGTATTCTCAAGATTAGCAGATTCACCCCTATCTATTGTCTTTGGAGGCCACTTCCCCTAAAACTGAAGGCATTTTAACCTTCCAAAACAAGAAAATTTTTGTAGCATCTGAGAACCTTGGACTGTTGAGGGTTTGAACACAAAAAATGAATCTGATTTCTCCAACCAGTGACTACTAATCTCAAGGAATAACACTCCTCAACTGTTCTCAACTGGCAGCACCTAATCCCTAAAACAGGGGTCGATCCTTGGACTAATCTCCTAAATTCAGCATCTAGATTTGATTCAAATCAGATCTCTCTAGCAGCCGGATGGCTACTGTCTGCAAAAGAGGTCTAGTAGGGCATCAACTAATCTCCCTTGGTACCTACACCCAAGGCAGAACCCTAGATGTAGATCTTGGTAACCTACTGTCAGATCTAGGGTCTAGAAATACAAAACAGAAAAGGAAAGTGTGAATTGGCCAGTGATTTCAAAGGCGCACCTAGGCACACAGGCGAGGCACATTTTAGGGTAGGCGCCTCGCCCAGGTCCTAGGCGCATGCCTGGTGTGCCTTGCACCTCAACACAGGCGTGCACCTTTTGAAAATTTGACACTTTTTCCCTTTTTTTGAGTCTAGTGGCTGCGCCTCACCCCCTATTTGGTAATATTTTCCATTCATTCATCATAATAAAATATCTTTTTAAAAAGCAATTAAAACTATAAAATCATTATTTTTTATGTGAAAACTAAGAATTTAAGACCCTAACATGGACTTGTTTGGGCTTGCCTCGGGGGGCATGGCACAAAGGTGGCTCGTAGAATTAGGAATGTAATATGCCACATTAGCTACTTGAAGTAATGTAATTGAGAAAAAAGAGATTGTGGGTTTTATATGCTTGAAGATGTTTTATTTGTTTGATTTTATTTTTAAATTCTCATTTGAATATGCTTTACATGTTATGTTTATGTATTTTAATTTTAGATAATAGGCTTTTTAAAACATTTATTTTAAAATTTAAGTTTATAATTTTATTAATATTATGTTTTATAATTTTTTGACTTATTTGTTTTGAAAATTTTGGCTCTTTTTTTGTTTTTCTTATTTTATTTTTTTTAATTTTGCACCTTGCTTGAAAAGGCGCACGTCTCGCCTTGCGCCTTTTTATGCACCTCGTGCTTTTAAAACACTGGAATAGGCCTGAAAAAGAAGAGAATAGTATAACGGTCCAAGTACAGTTGCAGCCTTTAATGTTCTGATACCATGTTCTTAAATTTGCAACAATAATGGAAAAGAAAGGAAGGAGAAGAGATAAAGAACTACAATTGGTTGACAAGGAATATGTCTGTTACTGTACGGTGGGTAAGGAGATCAGCTAATGCCTTTGCGGATAGCTTGGCAAAACAGGGCACAGTTTGAGAAAAACTTTTTTTGGGCTCAACTGTAATTTTTGTATTAGTAATGAGTAATCATGTACCTGTTTTATATTTGGAAAGGCRGAATCTCGTGCCTTCCAAAGGGTCTGATTATGTAATTTATTTCTGATTTAATAGAAATATGATATTTTATCTTTCAAAAAAAAAAGGAAGGAGAAGAAGAGAGAAAATGAAAGAATGGGTGGCAGAAAAGAGTGCTCCAGCCAGCCTTACCATTTGTATTTATGTTAAGAACTAATTACAAGTGAATATATGATTATACCTCTGATTAAGTGACAACAACTAATAAACAAGGACCCGAATGGGCTCAATATCTTAGACCCAGTAACTCTAATAAAGAAAAAAACATTAGACTCTATAAATGGCCCGGCCCAACATATCTACTCCTTACATATGTTGTTCAAATTCGGATTGTAATTTGTAATTCATATATAATAGATGTACCGGGTTCTCTAGGTGTAGCCTTATATTTTGATTATCATGTGATTTTCCAATGTTTCGTAACATACCATGGTGTGAGAGAATACATAATTCAGAAGTTGTCTTGTATGGAGTATGTTTTCTTCTTAGCATTAATCTTTGATTGTTTAATAGGAGAAAATCCAGGAGTGTTTCTACTTTTCCCTACTTTTTCGGTGTTATGGTTCTTTTTTCCTTATAGACATTAGATATACAATACAGCTAAACATTATCACGTTTTTGTTATTCCATCACTGAATTATTATACTGCAACAAAGCTCATCCTTTTCGAACTTGTACAAACAAACTTGCCAATTGATTCAAATTGAACCAATTCAAAAATTGGATATGAGATAAAATTAGGTTACTTTGAGTGCAACTATGTATGTGGTAATGATTTAGATGCACCATTTCCTGTTCTTGGAGGAGCATATAACGCCTTTGTCATGATTTTGAATTCCGAGTTCTTGTTCATGAGCTCTGTAATTGGAATTTGTTTTTCCTTGTACATATTTATATATTCAAACACTTGAAAAAGGAGTATGCAAAAATGATGCTATATTTGGTTTGGGCTTTTTCAAGTTGTAAGTTAGACAACATATTTCAGTGCTAGACCACAAGGAGATCTTTGAGAGATGTTTTTGTATATGCAGACCTTTGGCCGGACACCACTTACTCATATTAGTCCAAAGAAGACGTGGGAGGGAGCTATTGCAGGCTTAAGTGGCTGTATTGCTACTGTGCTTGTCTTATCAAAGATATTTTGTTGGCCAACATCGTTATTAAGGTATTACTGTTAAGTGTTCAATAAGCATCATCATAAATAATTTATAGTTTTTGGATTTTTTTTGAGTGACAGTGTAACACTGAGGTGCATGGACATTTTTTTGGACAAATAGTGGATGATAATATTATAAAAAGGAAAATTGGTGCAAGAGGTTGTAAGAAGATAAAAAATAAAATAAAATCAGCTATTTAGTAGTGATTTAAAAGGCAAGCCTAGGAGCACAGGTGAGGCACATTTTAGGGTAGGCGCCTTGCCCAGGTCCTATGTGCAGCCCTTTCAAAAGGCGCACTCCTGGTGCACCTCAGCCCAGGTGTGCACCTCAAGGGGCGTGGCACAAAGGTGGCTCGTAGAATCAGGAATGTAATATGTTTTACATCACATTAGCTACTTGAAGTAATGCAATTGAGAAAAAAAAAGAGATTGTGGGTTTTACATGCTTGAAAATGTTTTATATGTTTTATTTTATTTTTAAATTCTCATTTGAATATGCTTTACATGTTATGTTTATGTATTTTAATTTTAGATAATAGGTTTTTTAGAACATTTATTTTAAAATTTAAGTTTATGTTTTTATTAATATCATGTTCAATAATTTTTTGATTTTTTTTGCTTTTTCTGATTTTCTGACATTTTTTTTATTGTTAGCATTTTTAAAAATTTTGCGCCTTTTAAAAAGGCGCGCGCCTTGGGCACACATTGACCCCTGCACCTCTTTTGCGCCTTGCGCTTTTAAAACACTGCTATTTAGAAAGATCTCAATGATGTTAGAATGGCTGTTGGTTCATCCAGAGTTCAAGAATGTTGATAGAGGAACATTTGAGGCTGATTTTTGTTCTACTTTGGAAATTATTATCAATGGTATATAGGTAGGTATAGGTATTTGGTTGGTTATGTACTTTTGTTGTTTTTTTGTTATCTTTTCTCAATGTGATATTTCTTCACTTTATACCTGTTATTCTTTTACCATAAAAAGTCCTTGTAATCATCTAAACAAATAAGTAAACCATATATATATATATATTTGCAAATTGGCAGGATACTAGTAAGCATGAATGCTCTAGAGTATATCTAGAAGTATCTATGCAGTACAATGTATCTGTTAGAGGTAGCCGAATAAGGGTAGATTAGTCAACTCACCTTGGTTAAGTTATGAGCTTATGTGGCAGTCTTATTAGAGGTTCTCTGTTCCATACTTAAGTAGGGGCAGTTTAGTCCTTGTACATTTAATTAGAGCCTAATCACTATTAAGAGGTCGACTGATAGGGTTTAGCTATTAGGTTCGACAGTTCTTTCATCATCTTCTTCTTCTCTTCTTCTTCTTCTTCTTCTCCTTCTCTTTCTTCTTCTCCTTACTGGTTCGGACTACTGTAGCAACAGTAGAAACAGTATCATATCCAATAAGTATTGGATACTGTACCAGTATGCTAGGCATGTGTAGGTATCTGTGTAGCGTAGGCCTCCAAGACCTTGATCTTTTGCCAACTATCCCAAATAACTTTATGAAATTGGGTGAAAATGTAAAATTCCTAACAAATCTTAGCCTAATTAGAAGGGCTAATGGATTTGTTCATGTTACTGTTGTAGTGGTGTATTATCTTGTGTATGGCAAAAGAGCATTATTATCCATCTACTATTTTGTTTAAAACATCCTATATATCAAATGGAGTGGGCACTTCCAAGATTTTAAAAGGCTAAAGGCATAGTTGAGGCATAATGACCCAAAAAAGTGAGGCGTAAGCCCCCAAAAAGTGGGCTTAGCTCAGCACAATCTGAACCGATAACCAACTGGCTAAAGGTGGTGAGCAGATAATATGACCAGATAACATGAAATTTCCTCAAGGTTGATCAAGAGACCTTTGCCTTTTAGGGTTTTAAATTTTCTGTTTTCTCGTGAAGTCAATGCCCATACTGTCACTGGAGCAAAGTTACAACTGGTCATCAAACAGAGCTGGGGATGTTTTCTCCATGGATTCAACTACGAACACCATATTTCATATGAGGATCATGATTTCAAATTCAGTTATTGGTGAATGTGATGCAGCAGAAAATATCAACCTTCTGTGGCTAGAAGCTGATAGAAAAGTACTTCCTTTCCTGTTGAATCTTAGATTGCTTAGAGATGAACCAAAGAAAAGCCTCCTAAAAGGTTCTAATCCAAGGAACCTGAAAGTTATTTGAGTAAGACCTTTTGTATCATTTATTTTCTTGATGAAAATTTCATTTTCTATTATCAAAAGGAAGGAAAACAAAAGTTTTTGGAGGAACTCCGCAGGTCTTTAGTATTTAAAGATTGAGTTGACTCACAAGTATCCATTGGATGGTTCTGGGATGGATGCAAGGTGCATTGGGTTTCCTGACATTATTTCTTTTTTGGTTGGTAACCATAGGAATTTTATTAATTTATAAAAGGAATGATGTATATACAGAATGCCAAGCATCCCTATGCTTAGGCTAGAAACAATACAATCCACCTCACCCATTTTTAATTGTATATTAACATTTGAGCCCCCAAAAAAATTATGTTCTATCCATCCCTTGCCTTGCCAATCCATCTACTGCAGTGTTTGTTGACCGTTTCACCCAACAAAACATTACTTCCAATTCCCTTGCCAAGTGCCTGATTTCTTTTATGGCTTGTCTATGTTGTTGCCACATTACTTGTCTGTCGTCAACTATCCAGCTCATAACCACCTTTGGATCTCCCTCTAACACTAATTTTTAAGGTGCATCAATCTGTGTATTCTCAACCCGTGTAGGAAGTGAAGCCCTGTGAATCTCCATGCCCAACTGAACTCCTGAGTATAGAGTAAGTATGTTGCTGTTTTCATCTAAAACAACCCTCCAATGCCCAATGGTCCTGGGTTCCTGCAGCAGCAGCTATCAAAGTTCAATTTTATTTATCATTTATGGGCAGGCTCCATTGCATCTTAACCACTCTCCTTGCCATTGAAGAATGGTCAACTACATGTTATTCCCTAATTATTTCGTCCATTGAGTATGATGTAAACAACTCTATAGTCTTTATCCAATGCATCACCCTAGCTGTAATAATATCAATGATTACTTTCTTATTACGTTCCATCCCATTAATAAATCTTGCATTTCTCTCCCAAATTTTCTTAAATAACCACCACCCTTGTACATCATCACATTATCATTCCCTTCCTTGGTAGATTAAAAGTGTTGTATTATCCAGTCTTGCCACATCATCTAGAGCAGTCAATCTATAACTAAAAACAGAGCAAAACCACTCCCAAATACTTGCAGCAAAAGTGCATCAGATTAGTAAGTGGCAACTTGTTTCTCCACTTGCATAGGCATAGAATGCACACACAAGGGGATAAACACTGGCTAGGTCTCTGTTTTTGAAGAACATTGCAGGCGTTAATCTTATTATAAGAAACCTCCCTATAGAAGGCCCTAATTTTTGGAGGCACCAGTTTACTCTTTCTTTCATTTGAAAAGGCTACAAGGTCAAAGGAGAGGTAGTAATATACAGAAGGAAGCATAAGAGAAAAACCCTGAGAATTAGGGTACCAAATATTGCTATCTGTCAGGTCAGGTCGAAATCTATAAAAGTATTTTCTACAGTCTCCAGAAGCTCCAAGGGCTCAAGGATTTCCTGACATTATGTTAGAGAGGCTTAACTCTGGCATCTAGAGTGAATATCTCATTCAGATGGATTTGGAAACTGTCAAGGGGAGCATGCTTTAAAGGATATTTATTGTATTTGGTTTTGTCTGGTCTTGTCTTTCAAGTCACTCTTAAGGTTTGGTTTTTCCTTCCTTGCATTGACTAGATTACTAGATTCATTTCCATTAAAAGTTTTAGTACAATTTAAAAGAGCTTCTCCATCTGGTTAATGATAAAAAGAGAGTAAAAAAATAGGTGGTACTTTTACAATAAATAATTCAAAAAGAACTAAGTTGTTTCAACAATGACCCAAATACCTTGGCTGCATTAGGATTGGTAGATTTCAGGGATGGAGTCTGAAAAAAGGAGGGGATTTTAATTGGGATGGATTTCCATTTCCTTTTGCAACCATTAGATGAAGGGAGAAACAAAAAAATGGGTGGATTTTGAAGGGCAAAATTCTGCCAATTTGAGTTGGGTTGAAATTTTTAGGGGGTGATCATTTTTTGCACCCATGTGGACCACCTCTATTTTAAGTTTTTGTCGTTGAGTTGAGGTGAGAAGGTTACATGTAATTGTGAAGATCAACCTAGCCCCAAAGACAATTCTGTGGAAGGTCATGAGTACAGTCTTCTTGTGGATTGCATTCCAAGGGGGTATAGGAGAGAGAACCTTCTTTTGTTTTTGTTTTTTTTTTCATTTGATACACCTTATAGTTTTTCTCTTTCTGATATAGATCCAAGGGTGTTATTGTTTGATGCATATGGGCTTTCTCTATACATATGATTTTGGACAGGAGAAACTTCCTCCCTGGACAAACATAGCTATCTTTTATATACAACCATATGATCAATAGATCCTAGAAAAATCAATAGTTTTAACAATACATTTATGATTTTGTTTCTGTTTCTTTGGTTGCAAGTTTTCAACCTGCATATGTTGAATACTTGTTTATGGTTTGTTTATCATGCTCAATCTGCTTTGTACATGTGCAGTGCCTACATCAGGAACATGATTATTTGAGTGGTCTAGATATCCTATCCCTATGGCTAAAAACTTCCTGATTAAATGGTATTGACTTAATGATAAGTTTTTTAAACTTTGTGCTTACTTTCTTGGATGACCATCAGTGCTACAGCTTTTGGATTTCTGAATTTTGTGGGATCTCTTTTTGGTGACCTCATTGAGTCAATGATTAAACGTGATGCTGGTGTCAAGGACTCTGGATCCCTCATACCTGGTCATGGTAAAATACTCTCTTCTTAGTTTAATTGTGTCAAAAGATGTCGAGCTTGTATCTGGCGGTTCATTTAATGTAAAAACATGTGATTGTTTATTTTTAGATCTTGAACATATTTGTGTGATATTTTCAATTAGTGGCAATTAACTCTATGCTGATGTTATTTATATCTATTATTAGAAGATATTATAACATGTTACATACCCATAATAATACTGTATGGACTTTGAGAATACAATGGTAGCATTTTTTTAATGAATAACATGCAACTTCATTGAATTATGTAGATAAAGAAGAGATAAAGAGGAAGTACATGCAATGGTGTGAAGCACCCCTGAGAATGGGCTAGTCTTGTTACCCACTCCCTATTTACAACTATTCACAATGATATGTACACGTCATGCACGTCTCCCATGGGAAGCTACTCCTCACCCCTCCAAAAAAAAAGGAAAGAAAAAGATTCCTGTATTCCCGTTAACCCATTGTCTTTCCAAAGCATCAGCTGTGCTATTGCTTGACCTTTAGGTCCACCTGAACGTAGCCCTTGGCATCCCAACCAATTGTTATTACCCCACTTAACACATTTCTATACCTGCATAAACCAATTCTAGTTCCCTTCAGCCATCCTGCAACTACTTTAGAGTGCCATTCTACAATCATGCCACTGCTTTGTAGTTCTTTTTGCTTTCCTCAATCTCAACCCTTGTAGGACTGACAACAATTTTGCTCTAGTGTTTTCAATCCGTTGTTGACCTGTGTGGTCGAATCGTCATCCAGTGACAATTCTGGATCAGTTTAAATTCTTTATTTTGTGATTTGGCCTAATAATTTTGCCAAAAACACCTTTTTTGGCCTTAAAGCTCAGAATACATAATGTTGTCATGGATTGACCTGTTCAACCTGAATGATCGAACTGCTGACCTGCCACCTGGAGAGGAAACAGGTCCACCTTTGTGTTGGTTCAACACCTGAAATTTTCCTGGATTACCAATATACCACCTATTGGAGTTCAGTTGGGGGGGGGGGGACCAGAGAACTGAGGACAGGTATCTTTCTAGGAGAATAGGATTCCAGCTGTCCAGCATAAACTACCATTTCCTGAAGATACCATTTGACAAAAATGAGTGAAAAACATGTTTGGTGACTTTATCTAATGGGCTTATCWTCACCAAAATATTATCGATAATAGCCTCTCATGACTGTCTTTACCACCACCGATTTACACCTACAAAGAATTTTTGCCTTGCTTCTTTGGTAGAGAGAGAGAGGGCCTCCTCAAGACCTTCACAGGAGTTGATTTTAGATTGATCTACTTTCCAACAGAAAGCTCTAATTTCTGGTGGCATAAATAAAATAAATGATATTAATGTAAACAATGTTACGGTGAAAAATTTGTCAATCATGGAAGTGTGACATATCAGCATTTCTTAAGGATACTAATATCCTTGCCAGAGTTTCCCCATTTCAGAGAGAGCAATAGGAGAGGCATTCAGAAACCACACTGGTGACATATAGATGGTATATTCAAGTCCTGTTGGGAAGTGATTCTATCAGAACAAAGCTTTGATCTCTTGAAGGTCTCTGTTTCTGCTTCTCCTTGAGCAATGACAATGTGGAAGTGGAGGGGGATTCACAGATGATTATTGGCTTAGATGCCATCGTGGTGAAGACCAAGATGTTTAGACCATATGATATTCCTTGTTCAAGTAGGTTAGAAGATTAGCAAGGATAGTGCTAAACCGGGCTGAGTTATAATATGGGTGTTAGCCTACCTTTGTAATTTTGGATTGTGAAAACCAATGGTGGCTGGGCTAATTTGGTTTAGTGTCTACCTCCTTTTAGAAGTATGTACTTTCAATATCTTTTTATTTAAAAAGCTTGTGTATCTGTTGTACTCAGGCCTCATAGGGGAAGGGGATTCAGTAAGAGCTGAAGTGATGGCAGCAAACATAGAGGTACAGAAGGCTAAGGAGTTGGGAGGTGAAAGGTTGATTGTTGAAGGAGATTCCAAAGTTGTTATTAGCTGGCTTTTAAAGATGGAAGCTGCTTGGTGCTTCAGGAATTAATTAAAGCAATTCAAATGGTTCTCTAAGGATATGCAGATAGAAATCAAATGGGTCCAAAGATCAGAAAATAGTTTAGCTGATTGCCTGGCTGAGCAGGGAGTTAATAGACAACATCTTTTTTGGGCAGTGAATTATCAAAAAAAAAACATCTTTTTTGGGCAGTGAGTGATGTAAAATGTTTGGGTGGGTCGGAAAGCTAGAGCTGTATGTACTCACAAGTCACAACTTCTTGTTGTACTTCTTTAATTAATGACTGGATTTTCATTGTGTTGCTGATAAAAAAATGGCTTGTGTATCTGTTAATGGTAAACATATATCCCACTTCCACTGTCTGTGTGAAGACATCTTAAATTAGATGATCATCATTAAAAACAACATCAATAGTTAGTTGTGCCATTAGGTAGGGTGCGGAAAATTTTTGTTCTACCATTACATGTGAGACCACATTCTTTGTAATTTTGTTGGATCTGCTGTGGCTGAGGCTTCTATCGAGGTGATGTCAGAGGAAAGGGATATGAAGAAAGGAAGAGTTGACTTGAAGACTTTAGTTGATAAAGAGGTGGAAATTAGCAAGTCTTTGGGCTTGTTTTTCTTAGGAGGAGAAAACTTTGCTAGAAGAGCCTTTGAAGCATTTGAAAGGAAGAGGAAGGAAGAAAATTTGAGAAAGGCTTCTGAAGCGTTAGGGGGAGAAATTTGGGATAAGGATGGAGGCCTAGAAGCGTTTGGTGAGGTGGAAGATTGACCTGTGTCTAGTAATTTTGCTTTGTTGGTGTTGCGATTGATGTGAAAATGTGGCTTCTCATTCTGTTTTACCTTCCGTTTTGCTGTTGTAGGCGGGTAGTAAGAGCTGTTGTTGGGTCTGGAGGGTGTTATTTTTTATTTTTTTGATGCAAAGGTAACTTTTTTATTGAAGAAGAAACAAACAGAAGTACATGAGAGGATGTACTGAAGCCAAGAAAGGATTGGCAGGATTACAAAGGCAAACAACTGTCACTAAACAAGAAATCTCTAGAGACCCCTGATTTTGCTAGGATATCAGCAACAGAATTTTGCTCCCTAGGAATCCAGACCAACTTCACATTCATAGAGCCTACGATATCCCTGGCTTCAGCTAAGAAGTGGGCTAGTCTCCGGGGCCCTCCCTTATCCTGTAACCAAGCTATAGTATTTGCAGAATCCCCTTTAATGGTTAAGGAGGATAAACCTAGCCGTTTGGCAAGGCGAATTCCTGTAGTGCAGCCAAAACCTCTGCCTTTGTGGCATCAGCCCTCCCAATCGGACCACTGTAAGCCCAGCAAATATTCCCCCTTTCCCCTCGGATTAACCCCCGATTCCTGCTTGACCTGTGGATCCTTGGGTGCTACCATCAAAGTTTAGAGTCATTTCTCCTTCTTCTCTAAGAGTCTGTCTCATAGTCCACTCAGATCTTGGAGAGGAGTGTAGGATTTCTTGAAGGTTTCTGTAGAGATCATTTAGGGAGAAACCTTTGAACACTTCAACATTGATTACCCAAAGGTTGCAGAGATGTGTGATGTAGGAAGTTAGATCTTCAACATTTCTAGCTTTATTTTCAAAGGTTCTATTGCTCCTTTCTTCCCAAATGCCCCACAAAACTGTATGGGTCACTGTATTCGAGTAAAATCTTCCTCTTTTTCCTAGCCCTCTATCTTGCCATTGCCACAAGATGTCCACCACCCTCTCTGGGAACACCCAGCTATAACCAACTAGGTTTAGGAAGAAGTGCCAAATCTTTCTAGTGACCAGTTAATGAAGAAGGATGTGATCAGTTGTCTCCCTGTCACCATGACAAAGAGGCCAGACATGAGGGGAGATGCATAACCTGCCTTTAAACTTTTTCTGAAGCAACTCGCAGGTGTTTATTCTCTTTAAACAAGCTTCTCACACAAAGAAAGAGACTCTACGGGGGATGTGCATGAGGCACATGAGGCGTACGCCTCTAGCAGGCCTCATGCACATCCCCCGTAGAGTCTCTTTCTATCAATGGATTTAGATAGCATACGCCTCAGGGCGTTTTGGGAATGCCTCGCGCGCCTCCAAGTGTACACCTCCCATGCCTTTTAAAACACTGGTTCCAAGTTGTTCCCGAGGGTGAGGGGTTGAGGCTAGAGGCTACCATGGCTTCTTTGGATTGGGACAGGTTAAAGATTCTAGAATAGGAGTTAGCAAGGGTGTCCTCTCCCCACCACAAATCAGTCCATAATTTGATTCTATTTCCATTCCTCACCTGATATCTAACAGAACCAAAAAGAGATCATAGATAGAAGTAATACCTTTCCAAGGGTTAAGAGGCTTTGGCCCGGTTCAAGTGGACCTTGCTATCCCAACCATTGGCATGTCTCCCGTACTTGCTCTTGATGATTTTTGTCCACAACGCTTCTATCTCCAAGGGATATCTCCAAAGCCATTTTCCAAAAAGGGCCAAGTTCCTTTCTTTGATATGTCCTAGTCCCAAACCACCAACTTCCTTTGGCTTGCAAACCTGATTCCAGCCTACTAGATGACACTTGTTTTCACTACCCACTTCCCATAGGAAATCTCATTGTAGTTTTTCAATCTTGCTTTTTACTTAGCTTGGGATTCGGAAAACCGATAGAAAGTAGGTTGGCAGGTTGGCAAGGGAAGCCTTAATTAGCATAAGTCTTCTACCTTTTGAAAGAAAGCTTTTCTTCCACGTGGCCAATCTTTTCTCACATTTTCCCACTACCGGGTCCCAAAAACTTTGACTTCTCGGGTTCCCACCAAGAGGCATTCCCAAATAGGTAATGGGGAGCCTCTCCAACTTACACCCCAACAGCTCCCTAAACCTCTCCAAGAGAGGGTCATCTACATTCAGGCCCACAATGTTGCTTTTAGAGTAATTAGTTCTGAGTCTTGTCACCATCTCAAAACTATTTAGCACTCTTTTTAAGATGGAAATGT